CCAAGAACTCTGTTGTAAATAAGTGTAATGGAGTTGACGCCAACTCATAGTGACCCTATATAGGGTTTCCTAGGACTGAGTTTGAACCACCGATCTTGCAGTTCAAACTGACCTTGCAGTCCAGCGCTTATCCTACACCAAGACACCCCAAGAACTCTATGAACATCATATTTTAGAACTTCTGCCCAGTGTCCCTGTCAGCATGGTTGGACACTTAGGGTCATAGTTTCAATGTTTCATTTGGAAAAAGGGTTCATTAACATGCAGAGCAGAGCGATCACAGGGGGCTGCACTTTAGCCCTTTCTCATTCATCTTGAACTATGAGGCTTTCTCCCCTTTTCTGATGCTTACCTTTTATAGCTGCCAAACCCATACCCCTGTCTTTGAAATTTGACTCAGGCCTGGTGCTTTACCTACTTGGCATCTCAGCATCGTTTCACCCTTTCTTAGCATTATGGCACAGTTGGGAATTTTTTCTGCCTTGATTAGAAGAAATATTTCATATTCCCTACCACTAACCTATATGACAGAGTAAAACAGCTCTACATAGAGTTTCTGAGGCTATAAATCTTTACTGGAGCAGACAGCCTCATCTTTCTCACAAGAAGCAGCTGGTTGATTTGAACAACCAACATTGTGGTTAGCAGTCCAGTGCTTAACCCACAGTGCCACAAGTGCACTTTCAGATCTTCATAGCTACTACAGTTTCCCAACCTCTCTCTTCACATTTGTTGGGATCAGTGGAAGAATGGGGCTGTGAGCACTGCCTTCACATGTAAAGTCTGAGAACCCTCCCACCCCATCTCAGAAAACTATTGTTACATTGGATACTTTTATTCAAGATGTACATGAAGTAACATTTACCAATTTGACACACATAGACGCATCACAAACTTAGATATTTACATGAATTTTGAATTTTTAAAAATTGTTAAGTGCCAGCAAGTTGGTTCTGACTCACTGCAACCATGTATAATGTTTCAGAAGAGTAGCTGGTGGGTTTGAACCACTGACCTTGTGATTAGCTGTCCAGTGCTTATCCTACAGCACCACACCAGGATTTTATCCAAAGTAGGTCCCTTGAATAAACAAGCTTATTCAAATTATATTGCAATACTTATTAAATAAATAAATAAAACTAATTGTGGACGTCCCTTAAAAAACTTAGAATGTTATTTTTGAGTACCATTCCTGGCCTGCAATCTTTTTTAATTAATTTTTTTTTTCTTTCATCAACTTCATTAAGGCATGGCACTGTAGGATAAGTACTAGACTGCAAGGTCCGTTTGAAATGTAAGGTCGGTGGTTCAAACTTACCAGCCACTCCTCAGGAACCCTTTACAGAGTCACTGCGAGTTGGAACCAACTCAACAGCACTGACCACCAACAACAATATACATGTAATGAAACATACAGATTTTAAATGTTTGATGACTTGTGACAGATTTATACACCTATGAAAATACCAATACAATCAAAATATAGAGTACTTCTACCAACCCAGAAAGTTCCTTCATATGTAGCTATGAACCTTTACATTTTTAGTTTGGACTTAGAAATATCCAACAGTGATTTTCAGTTGAGCCAGTTAGGTAAGAGGGACAACTAAACTGAAAATACGGTTTTGCTTCTCGTAGATTGTATGGCTTGCATATTAATTGAATGCACTATAAAATGAGAATCATAAAGGACACAGGATAGATGATGGAATGAATCTGCAGCTTTCCATCCAGATGGATGTTCATCAGAGTACTTTAAAGACACATTCATTCATGCAGCAGCAATTGAACCTCAGTGATGAACCAATAGGCACTGTTCCGTGTCCTAAAACATACACATTGTCACTGTCTCCACGAAGTCTACATTTTGGTGGGAGATGTTGAGGAATAAGAAATTGTACCATTGTATACTTTTAGAATGCAATACTTGTTATGAAGAAGAAGCAGAGTGAGGATATAGACAATGATAGTGTGCTGTTTTAAGGAAAAGAATACATCCCATGTAAGGAGCTCTGGTAGCGTAGTGGTTACGAAACGGACTGCGAACTGCAAGGTCATCAGTTCGAAACTACCAGCTGTTCCGCGAAAGAAAGATGAGGCGTTCTGCTCCAGTGAAGATTTACAGCCTCGGAAACCCTGCACAGGGTCACTATGGGTCGGAACCAACTCCACGGCACATAACAACAACAACAACATATACCACTGGTAGCAATTAGTCATTCGTGTTAATTCATTACTAATTTGGATTAAAGAAGACTAATCTCTTCTGCATTTAGTGCTTAGAAACTCAGGTTTTCCAAAAGTGAACTGATTATCTTCCCTCTCCATATACATTCCTCGTCCAGTGCACCCTGCCTCCACACACAGCCTTGTCCCCTTCAGCCTGGAAAACTTTGTCCTTCCCTTCTACTTCTGCGGGAGTCCCTGAATTGGGTCCCTCCTGGATCCCCACTGACCAGCCTCAGATCTAGCCCTCATTGTCTCTCCCCAAGGCTGTCATGTCAGCTCCTTACTTCTCTACCTAGCAATCAAGTTGCCTCTGACAGACGTAGGCAACAGGGTGGTAGGATATTCAGAAACAACCTTAAACTAGACACACAACTGTGCTCCATGCTGAGCAAGGGGAGTCCTGAAGGGCAAAGGGGAGTTATCCAGACAAAGAAGGGAAAAGTCATTCTGTAAAGATTGTGAGCAGAGGAACAGACAAGGTGTGTGCTTTGGAGAACTTTAAGTAATAATATGATCTTGATGACATTAAAACATCAGGTGTGTATTATTAGGTTCTAGCACTATCTAATGTTGCAAAACAGAATCAACCCAAAACGTAGTGCTTAAAACAATGACAATATTTAGTTTGCTGTCAAATCTTTAATTTGTACAAGATTTGGTGGGAATAGCTCAATTCTATTCCACATGTCATCAAATGGGGCTGGAATCATCTGACATGGATGAAGGTTGATGCTGACTGCAAGCTCAAACTTTAGCTGAGATGGTTGGTTGACTGGGATGCCTACATGTGTTTTTCCCATGAGTAAAGAAGACAGAGCATCCTTATAACATGATGCCTTGTTCCAAAGGCAAACATCCCCAAGACAGAATAAGCCAGGCAGATCCTGCATTGGGCTTTTAGGATTTAGCCTTAGAATTCAGATAGCATCACGTCTACTTCATTCTGTTTGATAGAAGTGAGTCACTAAGATTGGTTCATATTCAAGGTTCAATAGTCTTCCATGGACACATGGCATCAAAGTACACTTAAGTCCAGATTACCTGGTCTGGCCAGACCCAGAAAACAGGCTACTTGGTCTTAGATGTCTTGCCAGATGTTCTGGCCATCCCCTATCAGCTAACGCCCCATAACTCTACCTGTGGCCTCCTTCTTCTCACACAGCACATTTTCTGCACATTTTCAAGGGAAAGCCCATTTGCCCTTAGGATGATGACGTCCAAGTCACAGTTCTTCACCTAGAATCTTCCACAAAATATTACACTCAAGTCCATTGCTCTGTTGGCTGGACATGCCCACCTGGACACTCTCAGACTCCTCAGAATAATCACTCCCCAAATGGGACTCGTCATCTTTTTCCTCTCAAATTGCTCCTCTTTTTCCTTCACCCCCTTCAATCAATTTCCCCAAACAGAAGGCAGGAATCTTTCTAGATGTCTTCTATTCTGCATTCCTCATGCCCCAGCATTCATTCCACTGTTAAGCCCTTTGATTTCTTCTTGTGTCTCTAGTACTTGATCCCTGTCCATCATCTGCAAGTGTGTGCCTTGGCTCTAGCCCTCACCATCTTTCCCCTGGGTTAATCCAACAACCTCTTGTTGGTCTCCTATCTGCCCCCTTCAAATCTTCTAGCACATAGGTAGTAATTGAGAACACAGAAGCAAATCCATCCATGTCTGCTCAGTTGATCTTTGACAAAGAACCAAATGCATTGAATGGGGAAGAGATAGTCTCTTGAACAAATGGTGCTGGCAAAACTGGAAATCCATTTTAAGAAGAAAGAAACAAGACCCATATTTCATACCATACATACAAAAAATAAATGTAAAACCTAGAACTGTAAAGATAATCAGTGAAAAAATAGGGACAAATTTAGGGACTCTGATATGATAGATGGCCTAAATACACTATTAAACATAACTAAAACACACAAACTGCAGAAGACAAAGTAGATGACTAGGACCTCCTGAAACATAGACACTTATGTGCATCAAAAGATTTCACCAGAAGACTAAGATGAGAACTCACAGACAGGGGAACAAATTTGGCAATGACATACATGTCGGACAAGAGACTACTGTCTAAAATTTGTAGAACAGTTTAATACCTCAACCACAAGAAGAGAAATTAATCCACTTAGAAAATTGGCCGAAGACATGAACAGACATTTCACCAAAGAAGGCATCTGGGTGACCAACAAGCATAGGAAGAAACGCTCACAATCACTAACGGTTGCTGTTGTTGTTGTTAAGTATCACTGAGTGACCCTATATACAGTTTCCAAGGAGTAGCTGGTACATTTGAACTGTCAACCTTCTGGTTATTAGTCAAGTGCTTACCTTACTATGCCACACCAGGACTCCCCAGCATTAACCCCTAAGTTAAAAAAAATAACAAAAAGCAGCAAATGCAGGCTAAGGTGTAGAGAGACTGTGACCCTCTTACATTACTGGTGGGACTTTAAAATGTTGGAACTGCTGTAGAAACTAGTATGGTACTTTCTCAGAAGATTGGAATACCTTATGGCCCAGCAGTCTCCACACCCATATTTATTGAAGCAGTATTCACAATAGTAAAAAGATGGAGATAGCCTAGAATCCCATCAGTCAAGGAATGGTTGAACAACTTTGGTACACACATGCAATGGAATATTATGCAACACTGAAGATTATGATGGATCTGCAAAACAGCTAACACTGAATTCTTCCTGAGGGTTGAAATACCTAATAGTAGTGGTCTCATTTCCCCCTCCAGGTCACCCTGTGAAGTAGGCATGACTCATGTAACAGGTGAGGAAGTGAAGGCCAGGAGGCTGAGTGTCACAGAGAAGACATGGTGAAGGACAGTACACACTAGGCTACTGGGTCGCCTGTCACAGAGACCTTGGAGTGGAGGGCTAGGAGAGTGGCAGGAATTCACTGACTAGAAGCCTAATAGGACTCTTCTTCTGTCTCCTCAGGTGTTTGTGCTCTGCCATGGCCTACTGCAACTCTGCCAGCTCCTGTACAGTGCCTACTTCAAGAGCAGCCTCACCACCATTGAGAAGCGCTTCGGCCTCTCTAGTTCTTCTTCCGGTCTCATTTCCAGCTTGAATGAGGTAAGCAGGAGGCACTGATCTACTAGACCTCACTTATGGCCTTTCCTGGTCATGAGAACTGGGAAGGGCCCTATGCGAAGCAGGGGAATGAGGGTACGGGATGTGCAAATGTGGTATAGTCCTATTTCTGCATGGGAACCCCAGGAATGGAGACGGTCTGACCGAGCATGCACAGTTACATTTCCTAAGACCTTACCATATGCCAGATGCTTTGCTGAGAACCTTCCACACCTGACTTCCAGGCCTCACTGCAGCCCTTCCAGCAGGTATGCTGCTCATCCCCATTTAACAAATGAGAATACTGAGGTTCACCAAGTGACCTGTAAGTTTGTCTGCCTCTAAGCTGTGCATTTCATTGCATTCTGTGGTAACCCACACATATGGGTGATATTGGCCCATCTCCTGCAGGAAGAGATGAATCCCAGATATGCAGATGGAATCGTAGCCCCAGATCCAGGAAAACTCCCATCTTATAAGAGTCATATGGGCCAGAGGTACTCAGTGTCCTTGACTCCCAAAGCTATGTGGCCTTCCAATAAAATGGAAGGGGCCATTTTACACTGTCCTCTGGTGATTCAGTATCAAAGTTACAAGGAAGTAGGCCAAGAGGCAGGATGGCTGGGGGATTGGGCAGGGATGGGGAGAGGGTGGAGGGCAGAGGGCAGAGTTGACCAGGGGTTCCTGGAAGCTGAGGAGAGGGAGGTAGGGGACACACCTCCACATGCCGTCATGGCTACAGCATCAGTGGCAGATTGTGTGAGGCTAGGGCACCAGACCTGATCACTAGTGTTGCTGGAAAAGCACCCATGGTGGACAGGTTTCAGTGGAACTCCCAGACTAAGACAGACTAGGAAGAAGGATAGGCTGAAAACTTCTGAATGGTTGGACACTGAAATCCTTATGATTATCAGCAGAACACGGCCAGCTATATTGGCAGAATATGTGCCCTTCAAGTTGGAAGGCATGCGAATATTACTGGGGATAAAGCTGACTTCTCAAAGTGGATTAGTCCATGACGACATAAATAGAACGAATCTTTCAAGACCTTCATTTGCTGATAGGGTATAACTCAAAAGGAGACGAAACAGCTGCAAACACCCATTAATAATTGGAATGTGGAATGTATGAAACATAAATCTGGGAAAATTGGAAGTTGTCAAAAATGAAATGCAACACACAAAGATTGATATCCTAGGCATTGTTGTTGTTAGGTGCTATTGATTAGGTTCTGACTCATAGTGACACTATGCACAACAGAATAACATACTGCCAGGTCCTGTGCAGGAGTTCATATCAGTCCAGCATCAGACAGCTATCAACTGGGAGAGGGGTAGTTACACTTTAAATGGACTACCAAGGAGGTCTGACTTGTGGCTATCAGACAGAACATGCACTGTGGTGTATATTAGCTGTGGGTGTAGCCTCCACTGAAGGGACCTGCTTCCTACACACAGCAGCCTCGGTACCAAATTAAAGAGGGAGCACACAGACCCAAACTGATCCCCAGAGAGGTTTTTCCTGATATTTCAGAGGCCTGAGCTATGGGGTGCTCAGGGAGGCAGATAGAGTGCAGACTATGGGTGCTGACATAGGATCCTTCTTTAGCTGCTGGCAACAACTAACACTGATGTCAGATGGATCTTGGCTGAAAACAGTGAATACCAGGAAGATGTTTACTTGTGCTTTATTGACTATGCAAAATCATTCAACTATAGATCATAGCACATTATGGATAATATTGTGAAGAATGGAAATTCCAGAAACCTTCATTGTTCTCATGAGAAATCTATACACAGACCAAGAGGCAGCCATTTGAACAGAACAAGACTGAATGGTTTAAATTAGGAAAGGTGTGTGCCTGGGTTGCATCTTTCAAACTACTTACTGAGTCTATATGCTGAGCAGATATTCTAAAATGTTTGTTTATATGAAGAAGAATCTGGCATCAGGATTGGATGCTCATTAACAACCTACAATGTGCCAATGACACAACCTTGCTTGCTGGAAGCAAAAAGGACATAAAATACTTACTGATGAAGATCCAAGACTATAGCTCTAAGTATGGATTACACCTCAAAACTGAATCAATCAATAACATCATGATAAATGAAGAAAAGATTGAAGTTGACAAAGACTTCATTTTGCTTGCATCCACAAGCAACGAAATGGAAGTAGTCCTGAAATCAAATGGCATATTGCATTAGACAAATCTGTTTGCAAAAGATCTTGTCAAAGAGTTAAAGTGCAAAGGTATTAGAGGACTAAGGTGTGCCTGACCCAAGCCACGGTATTTTCAGTCACTTAGTTGTTGTTGTTGTTAAGTGCTGTCAAGTCGATTCTGACCCATAGCGACCCTGTATAGGGTTTCCAAGGAGCAGCTGGTGAGCTTGAACTGCCGAACTTGCAGTTCAAATGGCTTTGCAGTCTGGTGCATTAACCCACAGCGCCACACCAGGACAGTCACTTCATATGCATGTAAAAATTGGAGTATATATGAAGACCATAGAAGAATCAATGCATTTGAATTATGGTGTTGGCAAGAATATTGAAAGTACCAAAGAACAAAGTAAACTGTCTTAGAAGTAAAAGAATGTTCTTACAAGTACGATGGCAAGTTACTCATCCTTTGGACATGATATCAGGCAGAACCAGTCCCTCAAGAAGGACACAATGCTTGGTAAAGTGGAGGGTCAACCAAAAAGAGGAAGTCCCCTCCAATGAGATGGAATGATGTAGTGGCAGCAGCAATGGTCTCAAACACAGCATTCACTGAGAGGATGGTGCAGGACCAAGCGGTATTTCATTGTTTTGTTCATAGGGTCAACTATGAGTTGGAATTGACTCAATAACACCTAACAATTACAACAGCACCCACAGTCACCAAACTTCAGGGAAGGCTCTGATAGCAACAAGGCAAAGCTCTCTGGAGGTCTAGTTGGAGTGTGATAGCCCTGCCCCGACGTAGACACTGTCACCTGAATTGCTGTAGAAGGATCCTGCAGTAGAGTCTACTGCCAGAGTCAGCATCCTACATGCTTTCCTGTGTACCCCAGAGCTCTGGCCTCTGAAAACTATAGGACAAACTTCCCTGGGGATCCACTAGTGTTTGTCTGCCCCACTTCCCATTGGTGCTGAGGACTGAAGTTGCTGTGTGTTAGAAAGTAAGTCTTGAGTGGAACTTGCTCTCACAGTCAACAATCTAGTGGAGGGACTCTAAGAACAAAAAGGCAGACCTCCATGAGTATTTGACCAGAACATGATACCATTTCCCCACCTGATAACTTTTGGTTGTTGCAGGCTGTTAAAGAAGGACCCGATGATGGAGTCTGCACCCATAGTCAGCGCTCTATCTGACTCCCTGCGCACCCCATAGCTCAGGCCTCTGAAACATCAGGAAAAACCTCTCTGGGGATCAGTTTGGGTCTGTGTGCTCCCTCTTTAAGTTGGTACCGAGGCTGCTGTGTGTAGGAAGCAGGTCCCTTCAGTGGAGGCTACACCCACAGCTACTATACACCACAGTGCATGTTCTGTCTGATAGCCACAAGTCAGACATCCTTGGTAGTCCATTTAAAGTGTAACTACCCCTCTCCCACTTGATAACTGTCTGATGCTGGACTGATATGAACTCCTACAGTGGGTTCTTTACAGGGGAGTCAGTAGATGGGTCACTTAAGTGGAGACTACTCCCCCAATACGACAGGTCTCTTGGAGAGTTTTCTGAGGAGTGCCAGGCCCTGCACCTCCTGAAATGGAGGAAAGTTGGCCTGTGCTTGCCCTGAATGCCTGTTCATATATAAGCAACCTCCACAGAGCAGATAAAGAAACTTCAGGTAAAACTGGAGGACAGTACCCTGCCCCAAAGAGGATTCACTGCATGTGGTTTTCAAGCTAAAAGCATGATTGCAGAAACAGAGAAGGGAGTAATAACCAGAGAGACAGGACTGCACCCCCTAGTGGACAGATTTATTAGTACATGAGATCTCACCTGAGTGATGGTGTCCAATGGTAGGCAGACTGACCACAATATGTTCTCTGTTGTGTTTGAGAAACTATGAAAGTTGAAAACTGAGATCTGGAACATTCTAATCTCAATTAAACCAGGGAGGGAGAAGGAACTATCCCAGAGAGGGAAAGAAAAGAGTAAGCAAAGGCAAAGTCTCTCCCCACCTAAGAGATTCTTACACAAGGTAATGTGGGTAAAACCACCAAATATAGAGGAAACTGAGAAAGTTAACATTCTCAAAAATTCCAGCGCCTCAGCAAAAAAAAATCCCAAGACACGCAAAGAATAGAGAAGCAATGTCCCATCCAAATGAATATGTCAAAGGGTGGGAAAATGCACTTAGGGCTGACCAAATAATGAAAAAACTGGGAAAATAGAATACAAAAACATTATGCATAATCAAAGAACTATGGGAAAGTATAAAGAGTTAAAAGAAACAAGGAAAACAATACAACAACAAGATGCTCTAAAAAGAGAAAGAAAGATTTCAATGGAAAGGAACAATGACTGAAATGAGAAACATAACAGAAGGATTTACCAACAGATTTAACCAGGCAGAAGAAAAAGAAAAAAAAAAATCAGTGAATAGGAACGTAAGATAGTTGAAATTACAGATATTGAAGAGCAACAAGAATGGAGGCTCAACAAAGACAAACAAGACATAAGCCATACAAAAGCAAATAGCAAAATGGAATTGTGGGACAAGAGACCTAAGATACATAACATGGAGATTACAGAAGGTGATGAAAGTGAGAAAGGGACAGAAAGAATTTTTGAAGAAAGAATAACAGAAATGTCCCCCCATCTAATAAGAGACATGGATTCCTGGTGTCATATTGTAGGATACACACTGGACCACAAGGTCAGTTTGAACCGAAAGGTTGGCGATTCAAACCAGCCACTCCTCAGAAACCCTATACAGGATCGCTATGAGTCTGATCTGACTCAACAGCATTTAACAACAACAACGACAATAAGGGACATGATTCTACAAATT